CCCCACAGGACTCGCATGGAGCCTGATGTCACCATGATTGCTTTCTCTAGCTGCCATGAACCCCAGCACGTGAGGCTGGGACACCTGCAGTGCCCTGTACCCTTACGCTCTCCTGTCACAGGTTCACGGAGCTGGTGGATGGCAGAGGGAGGATCAGCGCCAGGTTTGGCACTGTGCTGGGAAAATCCATCACTGTGAAGACACGTAAGTTGCTTTTCTGTCCCGATCCTGTCATCTAGTGCCATCTCCTGCACCTTCCCCCAGAGTGAAGTGGCTGCTGTAGGGCTGGGGGAGCCACAGAAGAGGGTGGAGCCCTCTCACCCAGCCCTGGGTAGGCAAACATCTGCCCTGCTTGCTAGACCCCTGCCAGGGAAGAGGGGTGACTCACAGCCAGGAGGGGAGCCCAGAGAGTGACCCTCACTGATGGGAGGCAATACTGACTGTGGCACAGCTGCCCAGGCAGTGGCCTCACAGCCCTCCAGCACAGCCCCTGCCTGCCCAGCAGCCTCAGTCCCCACTGCCAGTAACAACCTTGCACCCAAGGAGGGCACCTGAGTGAGAAACCCCTCACTAGTCCAGCCTAACCCTCCATTTTCCATCCCCAGAAGACCAGAGACACAAGTCCCAGCCAAAGATACTCTAGCAGGCTGGGGAACCCCATGCCGTGGGGTAGGGAAGAAGCCTGGCATACCTGAGGGCAACCCTGGGCTTGCTGCACATCCTGACTCTGCCCCTGTCTCTGCAGGACTCTGTGTCCCACAACCCTCCAGGAGGGGTGAGGGGATCACCCCAATTCTAGGGATGGCAACTGTGAAGGGCTAAAGCAGTGCCTCAGGCCTGGCCAGTGCTCCAATACTGCAGGCAGGCTGGGTCCCCTTGGAGGGTCTGCCTTTGGGTCTGGCTTTGGTCTGGAGGTGATGTTTGACCATCTTGTTGTCCAGAGCCAGAGGCTCCAGTGAAGCTGGAGAACACGGAGGTGTCCAGCCAGGACAGTCTGGCACTGCAGCTGCATGAGGCAAAGAGCAAGAGTAAGTTACAGGGGGGACCCACAGCAGCAGGGACCCAGCCCTGGCCTGGTGCTCGGCACCAGCCTGCCTTCCTTGGGGGCATGGCATGTGTCCCTGCCCACCATCTCTGCCTGGGAGCACCCTGGCATGATGGGGGCTTGTTAGGACTGTGCCGTGGCCCCAGGGTCTGACAGCCAGGCATGTTTTGCAGGAGAGGGGCGGAACTGCTCCACGAATCCCTGCAGGAATGGAGGCACCTGCACCAGAGATGCCGAGTCCTACCACTGTGCCTGTTACCCAGGGTTCAAGGGCCGGCTCTGCCAGTTGGGTGAGTGCCAGGCTGTGCCAGAGGACCAAGCTCCCTCCTGCAATGCCAGGCTGGTGGCTGTCCATCATGAGTTCCCCAGGACGTAGATCACCCAGCACACCCTGTCAGCACCCACCACGCCCAGGCTCTACTAGAGATCAGTGTCGTGCTGGGAGAGGGACTGGGCTCTGCTCTTGCCGCTCTGGGGAGATGTGAGAGTGCAGGTCTGCTCCCCACTCTTGGCTGAGCTTTCCACCTCTGTCTGGCAAGGCCAGGCCCCTGCCTTGCCCACAGAGTTGCCTAGGCACTGTGAGGCTGGGGGCTCCACTTCTCCTGGTGGGTCAGCTCTGTTGAGCCCAGCCCTCGAGCACAGCCAAGGAGAAGCCAGACAGGCCTCACCGGCCCCTTGCCACAGGGCACAGGCAGGCAGGGCCATGGATGGGCTCACTGATAGCTCCCCTCTCCTATTCCCCAAGCAGCCTGCAAGAAGGTGCCACACTCGTGCACACGGCTGTACTCGGAAACCAAGTCATTCCCAGTGTGGGAAGGAGGCACCTGCCACTACCTGTGAGTACTGCCTGCAGGTTGTGCTCCCCCCTTCCCCCTGTGCTCTGAGCTGGGGTTGTCTCGCCATGGCTTGGCTCTGAGGAAGGGAGAGCAAGTGTGAGGCCGTCTCCAACCCCAGCTGGCAGCTGCCCCCTCCCCAGTGCAGGCTGAGCAGCCTGTCATGCCCTTGTGGGTACCCCCCCAACTGCATTTCAGGGCAGGGTGTTCCTGAAGTGAAAGCTCCCTACTGGTGTTATCACCCACACGGCAGCAAGGTTGGATTTGGTGTGCGTCACCCCCAAACAGCAGCAGATCCCACCCAGCTCCTGGCTGCCTCTCCATATAAAACCAGAGGGCTGGGGGAGCCCTGCTGCAATGTCAGGGCATGGAAGGCTCTGGTGTTGCCCCCTGTCTCCTTGTGATGGAGGCAAAAAGGCCTGGCTGTGTGAGGATCAGCCCTCGTGCACATCAGGCCTGAGCCCCATTCCTGCCAAGGTTGGCTACTGCAGCCTGGAAGGAAACAGGGAAGCACCCAGACTCCACCTTGGCACTCATAAAAGCACATCTTGTCCCTGTTGTTCCCTACACATCACCCCTCCACTGTGTGTGCAGGTACAGGAGAGTCTACAAGGTACACCAGGACGTCTGCTACAAGGAGAGCTGTGAGAACAGTGGTTTCGAGAGGACAACCAGCAGGTACAGCAGCAGCACGCTGAGCGTGCCAGCCTTCCTGTGACCCTGGACAGGAGGATGCAGCTGGCAGGTGGCATGCATGGGCACACTCAGGCTGGGGTGGACTGGGAGAGGGTGCAGGCATGACCAAGGCTCGGATGCGGGTGCTGTGAGCCATGTCTGAGGGGCGCAGGGCTGATGGTGCTCTCCTCCGTTCTCTTCCAGAAAACCAAGCAACAGTCACACACTGAAGAAGCCATAGAAGTAAGTACCTGCTCCAGCCCTCCTCAGCCACAGGCAGGGGCAGTTCTTGTACAGGGAGTGGGGGACGAGGAGGAAGGGTGGAGGCCAGGGCACACCCCTAGCTCACACCTCCCATGTTTAGGAGGTGTGAGGGCTTTGTGGCTGAGGGCTCCTGGTTGTGTCTGGGATGGAGGAGCAGAAGGCAATGTTCTGCTTCCCCTTGGCTCTGCAGCTTCATGAACAAGAGACTCCTGCACAAGCTAAAGCTGGAGCCCTGGAGAGGGCAGGTCCCCTTCTCCCAGCCTGAGATGGGTGCACGGGGTGGGAAGAGGCTTTGGGGGGATTCCGCACACCAGCTTAATTTTCCTCCTGCTCCTCCACAGGGTTTAAAGCAGTAGAAGCTTCATCTTTCCACATCTAAGGGCTTTTTGAACACCAGGAAGATCAGATCTGCTCACTGCGTTGAACACAGCAGGGGCACCTTCCTGCCTGGTGTTGGCCTCTCCCTCTCCTCCAGCCTGTTAGGCAGCCGGGTCAGCAGACCGGGCAGTGCTCCCTTCCCCCTGCCAGCCCAGCACTGCCTTTGCTGGTTTGCCTCCCTCTGGCCGCCTCTCTGCCCCTGAGGAGCTGAGCACCAGTGCCCCCGAGGGGGCCAGCCCTGCTCGGGCCCCCCAGCCACTCTGCACAAGCGATGGGCTCCCCGCTCCACTCAGGGATCAGCCCAGCAACTTGCCAACAGCATCTGCACCAACCTGTTTTCATAATCCAAGGTTATAAATTACCTATAACCCTCAAATAAAACAGTTTAATGCAGAGCAAAAAGCCGTAGCCATCAACTGAAACATGGCCCCCAAAAGTCTGCTCGGAGATGTTCCAACCTCTCTAGATGAGTTAAAAATGGTAAGCAGCTCTGAGCAGCGAGGCGAGCATGGACAGTGGAGGCACATTCCTGTTTCCTCTGCTCTAGTAGGGGCAACTGATGCAGCTTCTTCTGCCTGCCTTTTTTTCTTTGCTTTGTAAACGATCCCTGGTTTTAACCAAACTTCCAGCTCAGAAACCAATAGAGCACCTAGAAAGAATTTTAAAAGTGATCTCTAGGTGAAGTCTGTCAGCTGAGGCATGCCATTGCCACCACACTTGTTGTAACTGCCCCCACACCAACACAGGGCACGGCAGAGGCTTGGTGACAATGCCAGGCCCACATGCCATCCCCCTGTGCTACTTCCAGCGTTTGCCTTCCCTGTGGCACCAGCGCTGTGGAGTGTGTGGAGGAGAGAACCAGCATTGCAGCAGGGCAGGCAAAGAAAGAGTGTAGTTTAGAAACATTCCTAGTTTTTGTGAGTTTGTATGACAACACTAGTTAAACATAGATTTGTGTATTAATGTACACAGTGTATATTATAAATTAATACATACCAGAGATATATCGCAGTTATGGTATAGAGCATTATGTCCCCAGCAGCGTGGGGTTATCCCGGGGGAGGCCCTCCCCTCCCACCTACCATCAGTGAACTCTGTAGCTCAGCCATATGTCTCAAGTGGCAGCCTGGAAGATGCTCTTGGAGCGGGATAGGCCTAGGAGTTTCAGTGCTCCTGCCACCACCCTCTTCCTGCCAGGAGCAGTGTAATAGTGCTCAGCCTGGAGAAACAGCTGCAGAGGCGGGTGGCAGAGACAAGGTAAAGCCTTGGTCCCCTGGCCAGCGTGATGCTGCCCTCCTCCACTGCCTCTAGCTCTCATCTCAGAGGAGAGACATGCCTCATTTTCCTCCAAGGCTATCTGGTCCTGCTCCAGCTACCTGGCAAGCACAGCAGCACTACCTCCCCAGGGCAGGAGAGGAAGCCACCTGGGAGAGCAGGGCAAGGGGAAACCCAGACCAGCCTCTGTTCTCTGTGAGGGACAGGAGGGTTTGGGGCCATGGTCAGAAAGCTTTTGCATCCCTGCCCTGACAGCCACGAGATCAGTGCTGACACTGGCTGTGGAGGTGAAGGCAGCCCTGCCGTGGGACAGTCCTGTTTCCACAGGGCCTGTCCCCCCAGCCCCAGAAAGCCTGGCCCTGCTGCCTCCCACCCCACAACTGGCAAAGTATGTAATGCAGCCTTGGAAATAAAATTAGGGGGGTTTGTTTTGGTTTTGTTTTGTTTTTTTTTTTAAATAAAAACACTTTATGGAAACTGGATTTTTTTTAAGTAGTTGGTCAGTGGTCAATGAGGAAGAATGAATGGTGTTGTATTTGACAGATTGGATTTATTGGTGCCCCACACATGGGGCCCTGCAGCCACCATTGCTCTTGCTGATGCTGGGTGGGAGCCCAGGGCACCTATGGGTGTGCAATGGGGTGGGGGAGTGCACCAGCATGGGCGGGCTCGGGCACCTCGGAGCCTCACCTCCTCACTCTGGGGCTGTTTTACTTCTCTCACTGTCCAAATCATCATCTTCCTCTTCGTATAGTTCATCCACTTCCTCCTCCTTCCCCTCTTCCGCCTCCTCCCGAGCCAGCAGCTTCTTGAAGACCTCATACTCCTCCAGGGTAGAGCAGGCCAGGCTGGCCAGGAAGTCTTTTTCCGAGAGCTGAAGGATGTCCTTCAGTTTTGGGTTATTGGTTTGTGTCTGCCCTTTGTGTGGGGTCTCGTAGAGCCCTCGGCGCTCCAGGAAGATGTGCCGGTTTCGGAGCTCGGCAAAGGGCATTTGGAAGAGCCGAGCCTTCACCATCTCCTTCTGCCGGACTCCCATTCTGAAGTAAGCGTACTGCGGGCGGGACGGGGTGTGTCAGGCACAGTCCCATCCCCGCGGCAGCCTCGGGCAGGGAGAGGGATGCCGATCCTCACCTGGAAGTGGTGGTGGAGGCTGCGCGGCTCCTCCAGCAGGACGGCGGGGCAGGTGCCCAGCACCTCCCGCAGCTGCTCCGCCGTGAAGAGGCAGCGCTCCCGCAGCAGCCGCACCGCCGCCGCCAGCCTCTTCCGGGGCACGGCGAAGAGCTGGGGGCAGCGGCTCAGCGCCCGCTGCAGCCGACCTGCAGGCACAGGGTCAGCGGGCCGGGCTGGGCCCCGACCTGCAGGCACAGGGTCAGCGGGCCGGGCCGAGCCCCGACCTGCAGGCACAGGGTCAGCGGGCCGGGCC